AAAAAAAAAAAAAAAAAAAATTTGTTCCATTAACTTTAATGGGAAAAATTATAATGCATTCCATCCCAACCTAAGTGTACTGGTTTGCTAGGGCTGCCATAACAAAATATCACAGATTTAATGGCTTAAATAAGAGAAATTTATTTTCTCACAGTTCTGGAGGCTAGAAGTCTGAGATCAAGGTGTCAGCAGTATTGATTTCTTCTGAGGCCACTCTCCTCAGCTTGTAGATGGCCGTCTTCTCCCTGCATGTTCACACAGTCTTCCCTCTGTGTCTGTCCGTGTCCTAATCCTCTCTTCTTATAACAACAGCTATTCTGTTTTCTTTATACTATTTATCCCCATTTTCAGCAGTGTCATATCCTTCCTATTCTCCAGTCCTTTGAGGGTTCTAAGGTACAAACCAGCTTCTTTCTGGGCTTCCCCTCTGTCAGATTCAGTCCATTGATGGATTTTGAGGGGTTTTTTCCCCCTAATCTTTAGCTTTATAAATAATGCCACAACAAATATCCTTTTATAGACACATTTTTATCCATTCTTTTAAGTATAACTATACATAAATTCCTAGAAGTAGAAATGCTGGGCCAAAGCATATATGCATTTTAAGTTGACTGCATATAAAATAAAGAAGTTTTTCTTATTTATATACCTATTTGTAAGCTAAAGTAGAGTTTGGCAAATTCCTTCTGCAAAGGACCAGAAAATAAATATTTTAGGCTTTGAGGGACCTACAGTCACTGCTGCAACTACAGTCATGCATACTTAATGATGAGGATATGTTCTGAGAAATGGTGTCGTTAGGTGATTTCACCATTGTGCGAACATCATAGAGTGTATTTACATAAACCTAGATGGTACAGCCTACTACACACCTAGGCTATATGGTACTAATCTCACGGGACCTCCATCGCATATACAGTCCATTGTTGATTGAAACGTCATTAATGTTGCATATGACTGTACTCAACCTTGCCATTATAGCATGGAAAGCAGCCACAGACAATATGTAAATGAGTAAGTATGGCTGTGTCTCAATAAAACTTTACGCATAAAAACAGACAGTGTTCTGGGTTTGGCCAATGAGCATTAGTTTGATGATCAGTGAGCTAGAGAATACTTAAATCTCCATACTCCCATCAATACTGTGTATTTATCAAGTTTTTTATATTTGCTAACCAGATGGATTAAAAACAGTGCACTCATTTTCTTTTAATTTTCATGCTTTTAATTATGAGGGAGAATCAACTTTGTTGTTGTTTACTAGACATCTTTTTCTTTTCCTGTGAAGAGTCTATTCATGTTGTTGTCTATGTTTATTAAGAGCACTTTTTATTAAAGAATGTAGTCATCTTCATCTGCATTGCAAATACGTTTTCATAATTTACATAATTTTTTGAAGGAAAAATCTCAAATCGTTTTTTGAGTTTTTTAATGCAATCACATTTATAAATCTTCTTTCTTTTTAATATTTTTTGAGGTTGTGTCATATTTAGAAAAACGTTCCCTCTGTTCCTGTTTTCTTCTGGTACTCTTATGGTTTTATTTTTACTTTAAATCTGTCTATCTAGATCCTCTTTAGAATAAGTAGTGAACCTAAGCAGCCAAGCTGCTTCTCTGTTATTGCAGTCTCCAGTCCAAACTACCTTCTACATTGTGACCGAGTGATTTCTTCCAGTACTGTCAGACATATAACTACTCCTTTTTTAAGACCCAGCTCAAGTATCATCTCCACTATAAGTCTTTCCTGACATCAAGGCACTGGGGCGAAATTCACTTTTGTGTCACCATACAGACTTCTATCAAAGTACCCAGCACTTTTTGCACAGAGTTGATTTCATGTCAGTCTCCTTTTAATGTTCGACTTTATATAATATGGATATATACACATGACTTTTAATGTATTATAGTTATCTATCTCTCTATATAAAACCTTTAACATATTAATCATAGTTTATCCCTGGAGTTCTTATCTGCTAACTCTAATACACGTCTCTATCTTCAAGGTGTTTATTTGTCTCAGTGTCTCTAGTTTCTACCACAGTGTTTGGCATATAGATGACAGTATGATAACTAAATGAAATAACTTTAAAATACAGAATTCTAAAGTTGTAAGCTTGATAAGCAGAAAAACAATTATTTTTATATGGTAGCTGTAACTGAAGAAAAATTTAAGCTTAAGTGCATAAATATCCTTTGGCAGAAGCTGCCAATTTCTACAATGGAGGGGTATTTGTAGATTTTACTGTGGCCCTTAAACAAGATTTATCATCCTCTTGTTAAGGTCAAGAGAATCTAAGAACACATAGTGCTTCCCAGAACAACAGGAAAAGCATCCCAAAGTCTGTCACCATATATATAAAGCACATATGGTGAATTATGGAAAATCCATACTTACATGATTGCAGTCTGAAGAAATTTCATTTTCAGGCTAAAAGGAAAAACAAAAAGAGATGATGTTAAAAAAAAAACCTCTCAAGTTTTCAAACACCACCAAAATAAACTCAAAATAAGAAATCTGAATATTCAACTGCATATATTTCTTCAATATAAGGAGTACAAAGTGGCTTATATATCTTTTAGATTACTGGGGAGAAATATACCAGAAAAGTAGATATGACATAATCCCTTCCCAATCAATGGTACAATCTGGAAATGGGGAAAATGGAGAAGAATGTTCTAAAGAGATAAAGCAAGAGTGTTATAAGGATCCTTATATGACATTTCATAATTCTACAAGCTAAAGAGGATCAGGCACAATACAGGTGTTCTTTCTTTAAAGAAAGCTAAGTATCTAAAAAAAAAAACAAAACAAAACAGGTTTATTAAAGAGGGCAAAGAAAGTGTGTCAATGATTTAAAAATGAGTCTCATGACTCATGAGCCTCACCATTAGGGGAAGTTAGGTGATGGGTACACAGGACCTCTATGTGCTATGTTTGTAATTTTTTGTGAGTCTATAATCTTGCAAGTCTATATTTAAAAACAGAAAGTTTTTAAAAAGCAGAAATTATATATATATTCCCATGAACACATTTGCTTTGTAAAGCCAGGTACATGTACCAGAGATAAAACGAACTTTCGATTCCATGATGAAAAAAGGTGGACTAGGTCATGCCTAATATTGCATAGCTTTGCAATACATGTCTTTAGTTTTAAAGTAGATATAAGTGTAATAATATACATCATAATAAAGCACTATTTCCTTTGAGTTTCCATAGCACTTCAACCTGTTCAAATGAAGTGAATTCTATGTGCCTTCTATGAAAAATTATCAATTTAGGTTGTAAATGGTGCCATTTTCAAAATAAAAAGATTCTGCTCAAGGATAAAGATAAGGCAATAAAGAAAATAGTCAATATTAACAAATTAAGCAGCCACACCTAGCATTACTTCAAGAAGAAAAAGGTGTTTAGGGAACTATTAATTCCACTGCAGGATTTAGTAGGCATTAATACTAAATATAAACTCATTCCGTACTTACTTATAAAATATTAAAACTGAATTTAATTAGATTGCTAGGTAATTGTAAGATTATAATACACTACTTTTGAACTTTCCTCCTAGTTGTCTTAGTAAGCATAGATATTTTAATGCCTTTCTGGGTCTCGGAAATCAGCCTCCATACTGAGTTAACTTAGCTTAACTCTGTTCCACTCCACCTCAATTCCAAGTGCTTAATTTATACCTCTTAACAGTTTGTTAGCAAGAATGCTTTTAGGCAGTTTTCTACCTTATCCACTTTTAATCTATTCCTTAAATTTTTTCCAATCAATTAGCAATTCTAGTTCTTTCTCAAACAAAGGACAGAAAGCAATTAGTATCACTATTATCCCTACTCATACTCATTTCTACTAAACAATAACTTTGAATTAAAGGGGCATTCTTGAAAGAAATTCAGAGCATTGGAGAATCTTCAAAATAAAGCAGTCAAATAAGATAAAAGCTACCCATGGAAAAAAAGTGTAGTCATGTTTACAGTCCACAAGATCTATATTAGCAAATTAATCATTTTTTTAATGGCTTGCTTCCCTACAGTGCTAGATTGAATTATTTGCCCCAGTTTTTCATTCCTCTTTAATGGGATTTGATATCCAGATCCTTTGCCCTGTAACTTTGCACAGCCTCCTGCTGTGGAGAGAGTATTACACCCAGCCCCACTGATGTTAGGCTAGACAACTGACTTGCTTTGGCCAATGAGATTTTAGCAGACATAATATGAGGAGAGGCTTTAAATGTGCTTGGGTGGTTTGGCTTGTACTCTTACACTCTTGCCATTCTCCATGAAAAGAACATGTCCAGGTAGCTGCTAGTACAAGGAGGAGAGACATGTGGAGCAGACCTAAAAGCAACCCGTACTCCTGAGCAGAATCACCCCAACTGACTTGCATAGCCATGAGCAAGAAAAATAAATATTTGTCATTATAAGCCCTTGAAATTTTAAGGGTGTTTGAAGAAAAAAATGACTAATATACCTATCAAGCAAATGAAACGATAAAAATTCCAAAACCTTTAAGTCACAATTGGTAACAGCTATGATCTAATTTAGTGAATTATATATATTAGTAAGTACAGAGTACTGTATCTTTTATGAAGGAATGACATAACCCAGAGAGACAAACGAACTACAAATTTGGAAATCAGTGTTTGGTTTTCATCTCTTTTGTTGTCTTGATTTGCAATTGACTATAAGCTGGTTTTAAGTTTTTTCTTTCCAGATTTAGTTTCTCTACCCAGAAAGACAAGATAACAAAGGCATGCCATAAGAATGAGGTTATGATGTTAAGCCATTGAGATTCATAGAACTGAATAGCAATGAAGAATTTCTAAGGGTAACTGCAAATAATTTCAGAAATTCAAAAGGGTCTTTAGAATCAAAGTACATAGTAATGGTTCAGAGGAACAGAATAGAGGCCTGCAAAATATAAAGTAGTTACCAAAGAGTGGGAACATGAATAATGCCAGCAAAAATTAACTATAGAGAAAGTATAAAAAGAAATGCTATGGTTTAGCACTCAGCCATTTGATAAGGAACTAAAGGACAGAAATCTCAAGGAACAAAAACAGACGAGGGTGCTGACACAGGTTTGGTTCTCAGACTGCACCATTCTTGTGATGTCCCAATCAAACCACTTCATCACACATACTATATCTAGTTCTGCAAAACTGTAAATGCAGACAGGCTTGATTATCTTTAATCTTAGAAGATGAATAGTACGGGAAATAAAACCCAAAATTCTAAGGTAGAATAAGGCCGAGGATTTTTTTCCTTCTGTTTTTCTGATTGTTAAAATCAGTGAAATAATACTCTGAAATGATCACAAGATGAATCAACAAGTAAATACTGAATAATTATGATGTACCCAAAATTGTGTTAGGCATTGTGGGATACAGAAGAAAGATAAGACAATGCCTCTAATCTCAGGTAGTTTACAATCCAGCTGTAAAGATAAAATGGTGAAATCAAGCAATTAATCAAGAGTAGGAACTTGAGCTACGCCTGAAGGATTAGAAAGAATGATTTTCAAAGAGGATGCCAGCTAGATGATCCCCTGGGGCTCAGGAAGGAAATAACAGAATTTCTCTTTTTTTAAAAGCTCATCCTTTAATTTACATTTTAATGTTTTTATAATGTATATATCACAATAATATTTTATGAATAAATATATATCTACTGGGGGTATGCTTAATAATTTTTTCAAATGATAAGAAGAACATGATCAAGCTAGAAGATTAACAGCTGAAACCTTTCCTCTTACCACTTTAGGAGTCCTACCCCAACCCCTACCCCTTCAAATCAGAGGCAAAGTGCTGGCTCCTAGCTTGTGGAACTGAGCTTTGCCACATTATTAGCTACTCTATCACTCTGGAGAGTGGACTTCAAAAAGAAGCCTCTTACATCAAGTGTTCACTCACTGGAAATAAAATAATTGTCCTCTTAACAATGGAAAACTGGGAGAAGAAAAATTTATGAAAAGCCTCATAAATAGCTTTCTGTTAATTTAATGATCAAATTTTGTAGAAGAGACGGCTAAAGTTTCACACATTAGTAACAATAAAGAAACTATTATGAATAGAGGAAAGAGAAAAAGAAGAGAACATGACACATCCCCCCAACCCAACACGGCAGTGACTAAAACAGAGAAGGAACTGGTTAATGCTGAATGAATGATGCTATTAACAAGGTAAAGGAGATAAGCCCTGAGTACTTGGAGACATCTGCCTGACTCCAATAAAGAATGTGTAGACGGGCCGGCCCCGTGGCTTAGCGGTTAAGTGCGCGTGCTCCACTGCTGGCGACCCGGGTTTGGAACCGGGCGTGCACCGACGCACCGCTTCTCCGGCCACGCTGAGGCTGCGTTCCCACATACGGCAACTAGAAGGTTGTGCAACTATGACATACAACTATCTACTGGGGCTTTGGGGGAGGGGGGAAGAGGAGGATCGGCAATAGATGTTAGCTCAGAGCCGGTCTTCCTCAGCAAAAAGAGGAGGATTAGTACGGATGTTAGCTCAGGGCTGATCTCCCTCACCAAAAAAAAAACCAAACAAACAAAAAAAAAAACAATGTGTAGGAAATAGTGAAAGTTGTCACAACTAACTGAGCTAAGTGTTACATTTATTTCTTACAACATAATGCACTGCAAGATAAATGGTATTGTGTCTTTAGTTCCTTATCAAATGGCTGAGTGCTAAACCATAGCATTTCTTTTTATGCTTTCTCTAGAGTTAATTTTTGCTGATGAAATAATTTCAGATGAAAATACTGAAATACAGAGAAACTGAGTAATGGTACTCTGAAACTGATCAAAGGTACACTGCCAGGAGACAACAAAACTGGGATTTAAATAATGATAATAAATGGCAACTAATGCTTATTGTGATGCTTTCAGCTCGATACCTCCCAAAAAGGCTCGGTAGGTCAGGTTGAGCACAAGGATGGGGGACTTTGGGAGGTGCAAGAAAAGGGTATACAGAATGAACAAATAGAACTAGTGCTCTAGATTTGTTTGACAGCTGTATGAGGAATTTAGATGTAGGCAGCCCAGATAAGAAACTGATGAAGTAATTAGATCAACTAGGGATCTGGATTAGCTCTTGACTCACCACAGCAAGTTATAAAAAAACTTTGCTTAGTTCATTTAGCTCTTCTAAATCAATGATTTAGATGCTTTGGGTACTGCTGTATTTTAATCTCCTAGTTGGGCAAACTAAAGCTGAGGCTTAAAACCTCTAGCCTTTCCTCTAAGTTCTACCAATTCGGATTTGGTTTTAAGGAAAGGGATAGAATGGTGGAAAAAGAACAATCGACTAACAGAAAGATTCAACTATAGAAGCTGTGTGACTTCCGGTGTGTCACTTAACTTCTCTAGACCACTGAGAACAGGCCTTGGACTAGAATAGGGATTTCTTCTTCTAGGATCCGTGAACA